TGCAGAACAAGGATTTACCCGAGCTTTACGTGGTTTGGCTTGTCGTTGATTTACATGAGTAAATTCTTTCCATCTCTTCTCATTTTCCTTGTACTTTCCAGGTATCCTTAGTACACAAGGGTACAAACACTGACACATCTGTGAACGTAGAATACGAAAGCGGTAAAGCGTTCGTGTCAAGCAAACTAGGCTGTTTGTAAGAACGGGACTTCGCGCCTGTGAGTTTGCACGGGAGGAGCAGGAAAGCTTATCTGGAACCTAGATGCATTTCGGGCTTACTTGTTGGGCCAAACACACGGAGCTGCTCGCAACAAAAAACGCAGTATAGAAAGTGGTTTAAGATTCTTGTCTATTTTCGTCATCGAATCTACCATGGAGTGTCCTCCTTCGGAATGTTACGATGCAGGCGTTGAGATGCTGCCTGGTGAAAAGCTCGTTGATTATGATTATGCGGACGATTTTGTTAAGATGATTCGCGATTTTGGGGCGGCCCAATCAATCCTGATTACCATCCGTATAGCCGCCCCATCATTTGGCACACGCCTCACACCTTCAAAGTGCATTGTTGCAGGACCGCTAGCCACATGGTGACCCCCTGGCCTTAGGTACGGAGAAACTCGAGGTGCTTGCTTACCTTGGCAGTTGTATCAGCAACGATTGGCATATAAACATTGAAATCAATTCACGTATTGCAAAAGCCAGAACTGCCTACTTGAATCTGCGACATCTGTGGAGTCAAAATGGGGTTACTCTCGGTATGAAAGACCGTGTTTAAAAGGTCATAGTGAGCGCCGTCTTAATCTATGGGAGGGAGACTAGACCCTAATGATCTGAGTACCTGCAGCGCCTTCAAGCATTTGATCATCGCTTCCTGCGAAGCATTGTTGGTGTCGGATAGCAGCCGCGTGTCCACAACGGAGATGACCGTAGGCGAGTGCTAGGCAGTGATAATCAGGCTAGTTCCTTAGAACAATAGATAGCGATGAATATGTTAAGTTACCTTGGGCACGTGTGGCCGGTTACCGCTTACCTTGGAGAGCTTTACTTTGTTTGCCAGACGTAGGGTGGCGCAGGACTTGTGGTGGGTAAAAGTCAATTTGGCAAAAAAGAAATGTAGTTACTGACTACAAAACAGTGCTGTTTGTCTGTCTCGTCTTCCGGGCTGGAGTCCACGTGACCTGTCTTGTGCTTGCCTCGATACGTCACAGGTCATGACTCGCAGTAGAGACCAGTGGTGCGTCTGCTGCCGTCTCCTAATCGGATTGCCTGTTTAAAGTATGTTTGGTGCTGTTATCTGCGGAGTAATGGCTGCTTATGACGCGGGACAATGAAAGTTGCAAGGGAACTATCTCGCCGATGCCGCCTTATCTTTGCATGATAGCCAGCTGTTTGTGACGGTATGTTGTTGGCAAGTTCTGGGCGCCTTGGACCTGACTGCTTGTTTAAGACATGAGAGTTTTATGCTAGGTCCCCTTCGCCCCCTCTTATTATTCTTCGTTTCGTATGTCACTGTGATTGTATGACAGCGAAGCATCAGTTCAAGCGGCTGATGTACAATTGCTACTGATGGTGTTGGTGAACTCATTGCCAGACAGTGAGAAGGATTGGAGGATATGGTGGAATGATTATCGCTTTCTTTATCAGTTAAGTCCCAGTTGGATGGACGGGGACAAATGTGATGTTTGACGGTAACCGACAGTAAAGAAAAAACTTGTTTCGGTTACTCATGAGTAGAGTATTTTGATGTGCTTGTGTTGAAGGTTTATCACAGACTTCCAAGTCAAACGGGCTATCAGCAAACCGGAAAAGCTGAAAATAGCCTATACTTTTTACTAGGACCCGTCAGGGGCTGTATAAAGAACGGAAACTGGTGACCACTAGGTCACAGGGGAAGGCGGCGGCGGACAGCCATGACTTACAAACTTGACTGCGACCCATTGTCCATTCCCATGCAAACTACGAACGTTGCAGAGGATCAAACTGGCCCCATGGGTTCACGACTTCCGAAAACAGCATGGCATATAGGACCTATTAGAGCGAATGTTCTGATTACCCACGAGCAAGGGAGCTTGACGTATGTGTATGGACGACGAGTCATGCTATATCGTTACTGGTTGAAAAAAAGCTATGCCCATTTCATCTCCTGCGGACTGTCCATAAAAATTGTTGCGAAGGATGCGGTAGCGTCATTGCCGATACGACTCGACTGATCCGACATTCTGGCCTAGGTAGAATCAAGTGCCAAATCTTATTTCTGGTTAGAACAAAGGTTACAATGCAAAGTGAAAGTTTAATCAGCAAACAGACGACGGATGCGCAAAAAGCAGGTGGGACACGATTACCCCCTACCTCCACTGGCATTCATAGTGTTAATGAAGACACTGTCTGCAATTTGCGATACGAAACTCAGGATTTTGAAGTGACTGGCCATTCTACAGTTGTTGGTGCACATGGCAATGGCTTAGCTGTAACTGCAGATTTTTGAAGATGAAAACCACAGTTCTGGGGGCCAACCTTCTCATCGAAACATTTATAACACGCAGGACTATAGCCGATGAGACGCGCTTGATCGCAACTAGCGAACAGTCATGGTAGCCAGTCGCCGTTACCCATGGCTCTATGACTGAAGTCGCCAATTGGTAAGAACGCGATCACCGGTTTGGATCAAAGGAGACCCTGTGGATCCGCGCTGTTGATAAGTCGTAACGAGATGAAACAGCCGTCTGGCGTTTCTCAAGGTGTGTGGCAAGCATTTGATTGAGTTTGACTGCCCAATCTTACACTATGCTGAGGTTTATGTCCGCGTCTAAAGGAATTAAATACTAGACTAGCTGTTAACTAGGGTATTGTACAAGGAGTGAACAGTTCGGAAGCTGGAAGAAAACTGTGGTTGTGCCGTACACCAACGAGCATCAGATGGTGGGAGCTGACTAAAAGATAGGTTCGGGAATTCAATGGGTTTGATCTGGCGACGATTTTACAACCGCAAGCATTAGTCACAAAGGTGACTATGATCAATGAAAGAGGTACGAAAAAAGGTGGTTTGGAGTACATGCAGAAATACCATGTTAGAATGCTCATTTGGAAAGAGAAGAGTAACTGAGTATCAGAGTGCTGACAGCGGAAGACCAAGCAGCTGGTTATGATCTATGTACACATAAAAATGTGGTGCAATTCAATTGAATTGCTCAAATATGTACTGTGTGTCAAAGAATATCGCCTGCGTCGCCCAAAAATCATGAGTAAAATGTTGGAATGTCGGTGAATTAATAAAAAGACAAATTTGGAGGCAAAAGTGAATACAAAAAGCCGTCGGACTTGCATTTGCTCTGCGCAATCGCAAAAGCTAGTTTGCGTAACAAGAACATTCACTATGGCTGGTCAGCCGAACAACCCCGTAGTGTCAGTTGGGTGGTTCGGGTTAATTCTGATCCAGCGAATGATTCGGCGGCAGTGTTTCAGGACGTGGAGGGTTTCCGCCTGGCAAGTGCCCTTCCTATAAAAAGCCGCAAATGTCTACTTAACAACAATGCGAGGTGGTGAATGTGACTCGCCACTAAATAACGTCACTGTCATACACACTACACGAAAGTCTGTCACCCAGTACAAAGTTTCCCTTTCACCCCTTCTCAAGTAGACGGCCTGACAGAACAGAATCACAACTACGGCGTCAGGTCTACAAATGCAAGCAACAGAGCTGCAAAGTTTCATACCGACATGGTTGGCGGCATCCGGTTTCGGATTTGCCTGTCACTCTGGCCAGCCAGAGGACGCCTACAGAGGGACCATGGATGGCTTTCACTGCACCACCTCCAGATGCATCTACACTCCCCATATCCAATGTAAACTCGAAGGAATAAGATCGGGAGGCATGTGGGAGTCAGTTTTCATCACCGGAGCCGGCCCACACTCCATCACAGGCAAACACAAGCACGCTGTATATGGAGAATCAAGCGCACACAAGGCGGTGGCTGGACCGTAGTCCGCTCCACACTGAATGCATGGAACCATTCTTCAAGCCTTGCATGACCACAAGGACCGTGCACCCCGTCCCCTCCAGCAACGACCAACTGTCTCCTGGAGCCAGATGGTTTCCGGATATGCTTCGTTGTAAGTCAAATGGATAGACTTGTCAGAACATTTGGTTTATCGATCCGAATGGTATGAGAAACGCTCTGAGGTCCTTCACCGCAAATTCATACCCACAGAAGGGGGGTAAACTCAAATGAAATAATGGGATCGAGGATTAATCCAGTGGTGGTTTTGAATACCTCAGAGCGATTTGGCTGTCGTTCTGTTTCCGAATCGACATTGAATGCTCAAGTTAACAATGAGAAGATTATAGCTATGGTTTGACAACAGAAAGGATGCGAAGCATCACTTGTCACCGAAGAAGACGGTTGACGCCGATAACAGAGATCGGTGAACATATGAAAGCCACGACTACCGATCCCGTTTGTCCGACAGTTCTCTCATCCAGGTTATGAATACAATTGCGATCAACAAAACGACGGGAAACCAGCTTAGTTGGGGATGTAAGTGTACTACAGTTCAGCTAACAACTGCATGAAATTGGTTACATCCGCTAGGTGCGCAAGAACTGGTGCAGGCTCATTGTGGAAGAAAATCGAGCGAGATAAGAGAGAGCAGAAGAAATGGAATTAGCGAGATAGAGCTAAAACTACGGGTAGCCACACAGTGGCAAATGTTGTATAGACCAATAGCGCAAGGTGATAAATGGAAATAACTTGAAAATCAACTCAATATATCCAAAACCAAGGACACAGTACAGTGGTTTGAGAACAACTGAGCGCAAGCGCCTCCGTACCGTATAATGCCGGAGATACCTGTGATCTGATCAAAAAATTCGAACTCCCGCTTGTAAAATGCCAACGAAGGACCGGTAAAATTGTGCATGATAATGTCGCGCATAGCTAACAGATGGTTGCCGATATCCGGATCCAGCTTGGTCCCATTCTCGTCCCGATAGATGTTTGTGTTCATGTTCCAAAGCAGCTGGTGGGCCAAAAGCGGTGATCGCTTGGCAGAGTCTAAGATGCACTCTGTCAGGTAGCCGAGCTGTGCCAAAATGAACGAGAATTGGTGTTAGAGTTTGATGGAAAGATGGGGCGATGCAAACAGAAAATTGCGGACGAAACTGACGCTATCGGTATCGGAGCAACTCGACGGGTACACTAACACGACCACAATCCCCAGTGGATAAACAGTGGACATGATATTCTAGGAATTTACGACCAAGAAACGCAATAGAATCAACATCACAAGCGTTCCAAAGCGCTGACCTTGTCGTATCGGACACCCTGAACCAACTGGGGCACATAGAAGAGCATAGTTTCCGAGGGATAATTGTTCAGAACGCGAACAGCGTATTGATGAGTCACAGGATGCTGTGGATACATTCGGGAGAAGAAGGAGAGAGCCACGATGGGGGCAACTGGGGCCCAAGTGAGCACTTGCATGAGCTGTGAAGCGGGAGGGAGGAGAAACACTTGAAAGTAAAATAAACCTGAAAAAACTCGATGAAAGGTGACTAATTCGAACAAGGTCACTATAAAAACATGCGGGAAACCAAAAAAACTCGAAAATGACAACGGTAGAATGATAAGGCAAGAGAAACATATAGGTGGACTAGTACCGAAAGAAAAAAGCTGTCGGTGACATGCACCATTATGTCATTAATAAGTGGCCGCAAGCAGAAAATTGTGAATAACAAGAGAAGGTAACAGCGACTAACTTGGCCAGGGAACTAAGCAAACAGCGCAGAACCATTGTTTACCATATCCAGGGAGGGGGGTTGAAACAACAGGTTCGGGTGCTTTTGAATTTGACGACGTTCATGGGGAAAAGCAAGCCACAGATTGAAGGATGAAAAAGTTATCCGGATAATTAAAGACAAACGTATGAGATCGGCGAAAAAAACAGCAGCATTAACCGAGGGTGTTAGAAGATAGAGACGCCGATGAGTAAAAATTAAGCCAGGCGTAAGTACGTCTTGCGGACGGATCAAAACTCAAGTGACTGGTCCAATGAAATTGAACCTAGAGTGGCGTGACTTGTGCCAGGGCCGGAGGTGTTAGATGCGCTAGTGATGTACATACAGAGGACACAGGTGGATCCAAGAAACGGGCAACACAGCCATTCGTGGCAAATCTGACGAGTTTGGCAATCGCGGACCTGCTGGCTGGCAGATGTTGCCTTTATGAGTCAAAGGGCAATCCTACAAGTCGGGAAAAAATCATTGTCAACGGAACTTGACTACATATCGCGAGGTGTTCAGGGGGTCCTAGGTGGTGTTTTTCGTTTGCCATCCTCTTGTTGATTAAACTGTTTATCTATTAAAGATGGAGTCTTCGAAATCAGCCAAGTGTAGGAAAGATGGAAACCAAATCGGAGAACGAGTTGTCCCGGAAACCGATTAGATTTTCCGATAACGAAGTGGAAAAAGGAGGCGAACGGGAGCACTGGGGTAACAGCTGTCCAACATGACAGGCATGGACTTCTTCAGAAAGGGTGCAGAATTGTAGTGCTAGTATATTACGAAGCAACAAAACAGCACAATAGAACATCGTTGTGGACATTAAGCGGGGACCTTAGAACGGAGCCAATTGCCTTCAATAGAGATGAGGCGCGGTCAACAGACACGCCTTGTAACAAACCTAGAGGATAATGTCGCGGTCAATTTTCTTCAGCACACGAGGTTAAAAGTGGTTGGTTTAAAGAATAAGTTATGAACAGATTTTGGAGAATACGCGGTTTCTTCAACGAAGTATATTTCACGCCGCCGGCTCACTTAAGCGCATGACAGATTTCATCTATGAGGGTGCTAATGAACAAGAGGGCGTGACGGAATAGCACCATGCTTGGTGAAGAGAAGATCGATAAGGAAGTGTCAGGCTGTCAATTAATAAAGGAAATCATTAACCTCAGTCAGTTTGAGCTAAACTGATGGTTTAAGCAAGCCTGAACAAGGGACGATTGTATCGCTATCGTGGGGAGTATAGTGTATCTAAATGGCAGTGGGCAAATATCAAGTTCATTCCTAGAAGATAGAATATCAAGTTGAATCCATAGAAAATCGAATTTCGTCCAGTATTGACATCAAGCGACATGGGAGTCAGTGTACATAGTGAGAAATCTGAGGTATAAAGGAGCATGTTGCGAGACATACAGAGTAATGCTATTTAAATGAAAGATAGCTCAGTAATACTGTCCCTAGTGAACTTTTAAGACCACTGTCATGATGTCTGTGAAGCAGCACAAATGGAAGTACGAACAAACAGAAACGTATTTCTCATTCAAAAAGCGAGCGTTCAGTAGTGTCAAGTCCGAAAATGATTTACCAATCACCGAAAGTGTATGGAACCGTCTAGGCGACCTAAGAAACGCATTTACTTTAAGCACAATATACATTAGATGATCGATACTAACTCCAGCGTCATGAATAGGGCAATCGTGAAAATAAGAGCAAATAACGAGCAGAAGAAATGAACGGACTTGTAGGTGCAGAGCAAAAGGAATATTGGCGAAAGGAATATAAGACGTATTGTGTTAGGAAAGAAACCCAACTTTTGAGGCAGTTCGCCAAACGGCAAAGGAAGCGCGATACAACTACTGAAGGTACGTAGAGGCTCGTTAAGACAATAAACAGTCATCTGCTGCGCTTCGCTCCGACCGTTAGTAAGCATGACCTCAGCAACCTTACCGCGTTCCCTCCGCCGAATGGCAGGATATTTCAAGAGTTCAGTTTCTTTTTCAGCACAGTAGTATATGTCGAAGCAGAACAGCAAATGCAACCAAGTTTTGACCCAGAAAATCACATGTAGTAAGACCGCACATACTGGTAGGAAAGGCGTCCGGTAACTTTCGTCAGTTCAATCATCGAAAACCAACCGGGCTCCTTCGACCCAAGTACAATGCCGTTTGGAAAACATCCGAGCAGCGTGATCGCGCTAATACAGGTGGCTACAATTCGACGCAAACTTTAATGGGGCCCAACGAGTCGCCATATACGACCGTTGGTGTCACGCTTACTCGCTCGGTGACGCCACCAAGTTTGAGCAATGCTACGCAGGCACAAGTGGCCAAGGGTGACCAACGCTGGCAAGGTGAGGGTGAAACCACGGCCCTAGTAAAGTCAGTGTTGGGTCTGCGGAGGACGTGACTAAACCACTGAAGCCTGCTGCGTCGGATGAGCGTTGTGAGGATCGGGAGACCGTAACAGCGCTTACGGATTGCGTCATTGGTGATACGTTTATGCCACTTCGTTTTCAAGATAAGCCTTTGACACCAACAGTCGAAGATTTCCAGCTTCCGGGTGTATACGGATTGCAGTGACCATGTTTCGCAACCATAGCGTAAAATGGCCTGATTGGTTGCTGAGAATACTCGGATTTTCGTTCACAGACTAATTTCCGTCCTTCCCCACGTGTTTATCAGTTGTAAGAAGGCTGTTCTAGCGCTGTCAATCCGATTCCGGATTCCAGATGTAGCCTGACCATTGGGGAGTATAGTGAATGCAAGAAACTTGAACTCAGGAACACACTCCATAAGTTGTCTAGGTAAGGAGAGCGACGGAGCGGACTGGGTGGCTGACGATGAGAATTACTTTGTCTTGCTGATATTAATTTCGAGGCCGATCATAGAGGATGGTTTGTCGACCTGACTTTGCAGTGACTGTAGTGATATAGGATCTACTGCAAGGATAGCGATATCGTCTGTAAATTCTAGGTCTGACAGCAAGAAGTCAGTGTTAACTTGAGCACCACAATATCCCTCAAGCGCATGGTGCATAACCCAGTCGACTGCGAAGTTGAACATCACTGGAGAAAGTGGCCAACTCTGCCGGACTCCAGTATTGATGTGGAATTCTTTTGTTTCTTCTCCATAGACCCGAATCCGGGCCTTCGTGCAACCCTAATATGATTTCATCAAGTTAACGAGTTTACCGGCACGCAATTGGCAAGAGTGCTTCACGGTCAACTGAGCCAAAGGCAGCTCGAAAATCAACGAAGCAAACAAACGTGGGCTGCTGGAACTGGTAGTGGTGTCGCAATAATTGACGCGGAGTGAAGATTTGGTCAGTGCAGCCACTGCCTGGACGAAAGCCACCCTGGTTATGGCGAGTTCGCAGGTTCCTCTCATTGGCAAAGCGGAAAATCAAGATTCTTGCGAAGATTTTGGCAGCCACATCGAGTAGGCCAATCCCACGATAATTATTGCACACAGTTCGGTCACCTTTCTTGGGAAATGGCAGTGGTACTGAGGTACTTCACGAGGACAAACAGATTTAGGACTCCCATTTCGAGCAGAAGAGCTTGTGCAACTGGTCAAGGAGAGCTGGTAGACAAGACTAGTAGATTTCCGCTGGAATCCCGTCCGATCCCGGAGCTTTCTTGGGCTTCAGGCGACGAACGATGTCTGCGATTTCTGTTGATGGCGGTGAGCAATACGTGTCATATCCTGGTTAGCTTAATGCTGAAATAGGTGCGGTGGTGTGTAGTAGACGGTTTAGGTTGCTAAAATATTCTACCCACCTGATTTATCCATCTAAATAGCGCAATATCGGATGTGGTAAATAGCGTTTGAAGGAAGATAAACGGGTGAGACGAAAAAGATGAGGCAAACTGCCAGAATTTGATGCAGCTTCCATCTTGCCTGCGATAACAGACCAGTAACGGTTGCGACCATTCCGTGCTGAGCGGATTGCCTCACGTCTCAAGCGACGGTAGTCTGGGGATTTCGTGAGAAGTGCTTTTCTCGCTTTAGCGGACAAGTGGATAGTATCTTCCGTGATCCAGTCCTTCACAGGCTTAGAGGTGGAGCTCAGGGTAGATAAAGCGGCGCGTTAACTGACGATTTTAGCCTAAACCAACGAAGGTCTACAGATTCATCTATTGCAAGTACGAGGTATGGTGCATTGGCAGAAAGTTTTGCTTCTATTGCTACCCCAAGGGATCGGCAGCAGTCGGTATTTTCTAGTTGGGCAGTGTTGATACGCTTTGGTGGAAGGGTCTTTTGACGCGTTGTCAAGCGGAGTCTGAATTTGGCACGCAGGAGTACGTGGTCCGAACCACCTTTATTGCCTGTTTCAGCAGTTCTGTACGCTCGACAGTCATCGATGGAGGACATCCACTGGGATCGGATTAAGATGTAATCACCATAGCTTGCTGTACAACCATGGTTGGAGTACCACGTCAGAAGATGCTTTCTGGGATGTTGGAAGTGAATATTGGTTACGCACAACCGGTTAAGGTCAGCAAAGCTGAGCAAGCGGTCTACATTAGCACAGCGCTCTCCAAGGGTGTATCTCCAGAGTAGGTGACGGGTCTGCGCGTTCCTTGGCCCGGTTCGTGCATTCCAGTTCCCAGCAATAATGAGGATGTCGCGTTTTGAAACATGGTTCACCACTGTCTGTAGAGTATCGTAAAATTCGTCTTTGTCCCTTTCCGCTGAGGGTAGGGTTGGTGCACAGACAGAGATTATGGTCAGATTCATCGGGTGACCTTTGAAGCGTGCAACTGCTATTCTAGCTGATACTGGCCTCCATGAAAGGAGCGCCGGGCAACTGAGAGCCATGGCGACCCCATGATTGCCAGAATTATCTTCCAGCCCACTGTGGTAAAGTTAATATGAGGTGCCTGCACCAGGAACTTAGTGGCGGACGCCAGGCAATCGCTTTGGTGGTCTAGTAACCCGAGTTACAACTACATAGATGAGTGAACGGACCGATAATTCCGACGATATGTTTGGCAATAGCGAGGAGCGATAACTGGTCGACCGAGTCCTGTAGTAACATGTCAAACCAGGAAAGCATGTAGCACACAGCATAAGGTGCAGCACTCTATGTTAACATGGACTGTGCAGCAGTCGGATGCAACACAGAGACAACCACAAAGGTGTCAACACTACGCCGTTGCGTTACACTGACGCCTCCCTGTCACGTGGCCACTTGCAGCTTTTACGCATACAGTCTCGAACCAGTGACTGTGGTCGATTGCAAGCCATAGACCTGAACCACTCAGCAACCGGCCGGGCTAAGGAGAAGCATGTTGCTCATGCAGTCTGAGTTTGACAATTAGCCAGTTGACAAAAGTTACATCCCAGGAGTAGAAAGAGGAACGAGAGAGGGTCATGATCGTTTCGAACACAAAGAGAAGTGGGGGGATAAGTTTTCCAGACGAACTTCATCTGTCATAGTGAAGCGAGGAGACAACTTCAATATAAATCAGGGAGAGAAGAAATCGTCGACGCTTCTCAGGTACAATTTTCAAAGTAGGCATAGTGCGAGAAACGACCGTGATCAACCAAACTGAAGGTAATTTTCATATCAAACAAGACTACCAACTGTTTAAAGGTATGACGGTATTAAGACATTCGCCGAAGTGAGCAACGGATTCCGTTGTAGTTTTCACTGGCCCCACCGCCCAGGGTTCGAATGGGCTATCTTAACGCAGTGCATGTGAGTACGCTGGGCATGAGGTTACTGACTTGACGACTTTAACAAAACGTCCTTAGACCATTTTGAAAGCAGGGTTGATAACTGACAACTGCTAGTTTGATGGTGTTCATCTTTGGGTTAAGTGCGGCCAAATATGGTGGAGAAACTAGCCCTTCTGCTTCAACAATAACTTGTGTCCGAGCGCACATATGGTGGATGGAGATAAATTCCTCATCTCGGTTTCGTTTATGAAATCCTGATGGATACGCACTATAGGTGAAACCCGTTGAGTCGAAACGGTGTGTAGCGTCATTTCAGGAAGGTGGAGAACTATCTCAGTTGAAAGCTGCTGCGTCGAGCTCTTAATTAACTACATCAAAAAATCCCCTAAGCATTAAGTGATATTACCAAGTCAAGTAGTTGGTTGGAGTCAAAACGTTGATATCACCAGAAGCAGCTGGTCCTAAACCAGGCTGGTAAATGGATTCAAAAGTCAAAATGGTTCACATAAAAACAGGCGTGATTACCTCCGGAACATCCTCTTCTAGGTTTGACGAAGTAGCCAAGTACTGCAACGCACCAGGAACGTGAGACACCATCTGGGGCGAGAATTTGACCAGAGTTGAGATTTCCCGTCGTAGACTTTGAGGTGCAGCAAATCTGATGTTAAAGGAACGAGATAAGGAAGCGTAAGGGCGACATGTTTTCGGTGAGGTGAACAAGAGTTGTATGTGATATACAAAAATACAGGATAGGTGCGGCGAGATAGATATCTTATGAAATCAATTAGCCAATACAGTACCGTGAAAAGGTAAGTAACGTACGCGCACGATATGCTCAGTGATGTTTGTCAGAAGGTAAAAATGCATCCAGGTCACTAAGGCGTGGACGATCGTAACGGGTAGAACAAAGAAAATGGTTGGATGCTGAAGATAGGTACCCAGAAAACATATATCTGTGTAGCTCCATCGACACAATATCGAGCACCAACACGAAATAACGTCATTTAGTACCGCGCACTGTTAATGCAGTTGGGCTGCGCGACTTCCTACGCAGGTGCGTTGCGCTCTCGAAAGCCGCAATACGCAAAGTGGGCGTATAGGAATTTCATGAATCCAGACACTGACTTCGCTTCAAACTGTTCCAATCTTATACCATTCCACACTCGAAGCGTAGAGGGTGAGCTATCCGTTTAAGGCCAGGTGCCACAAGTCTGTATTAGTGCCCGCGAGTGCTACTTGGTGAGCGCACGTGCAGCATGTAATATGCGATGCGTCATAACGAGGTCATTTCTAAACCAACAATACGGCAGAGTGTACAGCCATAATCGGCTGCATCGGTCTTCGTGCGACATACCCAGTAAACTGGGGACCAGGCTGGAAGAGACATGCTGAAAAGGTACTAGTTTTTGCACCTCGCAACGTGTGATCCGACAATCGGCTGATGAGCCATATTCCAACATTGGATTTATGGTGGAGGAGAGAGAGACGAGTGACAACCTCTTCAAACCAAATGCAAAATCCGTGTTTGAGCGCCCAAAGCATACGCAGTCCGTTTCAATAATGGCTTGTTCCTGTTGTCCACGTACTTCAAATCGCAGCGTGAGGGTATACTTAGATCCTTCACAGAAGGAGTAGCAGTTGTCCGGCTAGATTGTACCCACGCCCATCACCGCCCTTCCCCAAACTCATACATAACCATTAGACTCGCAGATCGACATCTGCAGACCACTTGAAAATGGGGTCGAGATCATGTAGAAGGACGTCGCAGTCGTCCGGAATTTCAGTTACTCTCCAACTTCTCAGGTCATCTGCAAAAATGCACAAGGTGACCGAGTAAGCTGAAGTAGTTCGTTGATGAGAATCAAGAACAAAATGGAACCCAACTGTGGAGGGATACCAGTCAGTTAGATGAACATACACCTGTACCCTTTATTTCCGTTCAATAAGGAAGTCACTGATGCAGTGATCCACCAACATCACACAACCTCAGCTTGTGTAAGAGGACCTTATGGTTCATCTTGTCGAAAGCCTCACTGAAAGCAATGTACATCGAGTTGACTGACTTCCACCGGTTCAGTGCATGAAACCATTCGTAACGAGTCAACAGGAAGTTGGTGATACATGAGTGGTCTTCTAGAAAACTGTACTGAGCAGGCGTCAGGTCTTTTGATTTCAACAACTGTAGCAGACTCTTCTTCATGATCTTCCTAGCACTCTGGTCAAGACGGAAATCAGACCAATAGACCGATAATTGTCCCCATTGCCCTTCGGGATCGGCTTCACTACTGAGTATTTCCAGTAGCTTGGTTTTGCACACTTGGACAGCGAAGTGTTGAACAGATCGGTCACGGAAAGTGGAAAGATGGCTAACAGGTACTAAAGAATCAGAGCGTGGAGCCCGTCAAGACTGGCAGACTTCGTACTATCAGGACTGACGAGCAGATTGTGGACATCTCCCACACCGCAATCCAAGATGTATGGAGTACGATGTGGGATGCGCAAGTCGAACTTGGTACAGACGCACGGTCATTTGCAAATACGGAAGCAAAGTGCGCCACCAAAGCAGACGCAAGCTCAGTGCCCGAAGTTAGGGGCCATCCTTCAGAATCATCAAATACTGCTACGTCACCTGCAAGCTTCAGGCGCGGTATCACGAAAGCAAAAATCCTCTTGGGGTCCGTCTTAGCTGTAGCTGCAAACGGCTCTTAGAATTACCGAAGCTTCTGCGTTACTGTATAAATTCCACTGTCTCTTGTGCATCTAGGAAACATCGGCAGGTACAAAGGGGATTAATTTATTTGATAGTACGTGTCACCATCGAGTCAAATGACCATATTCGTCGTCGAACCAATGTGGTCTCACGGGTCGAGCTTTCAGATACTTGACGGACATGAGTCGAACGTAGACAAAACCTGAAAGCGACACGCTGTGGCAGACGAGAGAAAGCGCAAGTAAAGTGGCGCGCAGAAAAATTGATACAGTGCCTGGCAGACAAGACGGATGCCCATGCATCCAAACGGTAATCGATTTGAGGCCATCAAGAGAAGAACGTAGAGGCTTCCAGCAACAAAAGCGACTACTTGGTGGAAGCCCCGAAGAACGACGGTAATTGCCAAAGGAATCTCGGACAGTAATACTATTAACAACGATGATAATAATAATAACGTACGTTTCGATAAAACGAGAAACGGTCTTCATAATGAGACCCGATCATTGTTTACGGTTTGGGATGCAGGAATATTTGGTCGAGTCCAGAGTGTTGCTGGTAAGCGTAGTTACAAGGCAACCGATCGCTCACGACAGTGTGCTGTACTTCCAACCAGGGATCAGATCGCGGAGATAACGAACATTTAACCACAGATCCGTGTATACATTCTCCGCGATTTGAGCCAATGGTACTCCAAGGGGATAGCTGATACTTTAGAGAACAATAGCAGCGATCCTTCGGTCCTATGGCACCACTATACATCGAAGATAGCAACCAAGCTATTAGGGACACGTTATCAGAGATGAAGAAGCAAGCAAGCAAGATCGGAAGTCTATGGAAAAGAGTGGTAGATAAGAGTGGAAGCTTGCAACCGAGGCACACGAGATATGATGTGTTGTGCAAATGGTAACTCGTCTGTGCAAGTGCATGTTTGCGCCGTGAAACAGTTAAGTGATGAAAGTGGACTTACGTTGAGAATAGTCTGAGCAACCGTCACCAGATAGAGACACACATGCGAGGATAGTAGTAACGAGAATACCCACCTCTGAGGCATGTGAACCGCCACGCTCGGATTCAATTCCCAAGCAAGCGAAGCCCAGCGCTGCCAGTTCTTCTCGCGCAGTAATGTGTCCCGGAGCCAGACATCGGCTTCATTTTCTTTAGACGTAACCAGGGCCACGTCTCCTTGGGGATTTAACCAGACAGACAGGCGCTCGATTTCGGAGGCCTATTACGAAAGGAAAAAAATGGAACCTGCATGGCCGACGATCGGAATTCAGTAGCAGGAGCCCTGTTATGTTCATGCGAAACAAAAATGACTAGTGGTATGATTGTGTTAATGTCAAGATGTGCTGTGGATGAATATCAGAGCAGAGTAAGGAAGATGACTGCGCGGACCACGTGGTGGGGACTGTGCGTTACATGCAGTTGAACTCCCAGGTCAACCTGCAATAGAGTCAAAACGTCCAAAGGTTTGCCGCCCTCCAGTGATAAAACCTCCACCACCGCCGCCGCCACCATAAGGTGCAAGCGATATTCGGTTAGGTTATTTTAAGCGGAGTGACCGTAGAGAAGATAGTGCTCCATTGTAGGGTATGATACAAAGAGGTAACCAATATTGACGCCGTTGAAAAATAAACGGATGCTTACTCCAAGAACATGCCAAAAAGATGGAACATGATAATTTAGACTGCGATTAATAGGCTAGAGACATGATGAATGGATAGTTAGTTTCACACAATAATAATGAGCTCAGATTACCGAAGACAGAAAAGAGAAAACACTTTAACGAATCAGATGCTACCCAAGAAAGATATGGGCATCAAGATTAAGGTGTGCACTCGTAGCTAAGCCAATATTACGCATGAACTACAGCTTGTGCGCCGCCTGTCAATCAGATAAACGGCAGCTTGAAAACTGGTATGGTGTCACGTAATGTGGGAGCAACGTCTCACAGTAAGAAAAGTCACGACATTTTTCAGGAAATAACAGAAATCATATTGTTGTTAAGGGTTAAGTCGGAATAGGCATTTCGGGCTCTAGTAATGCATTAATAAGCTTCGGTAGACAACTTTCTGGGCTGAGAGCAGCCACAAAAGTAAACGAACAACATGCGGAGAGTCCATTGAGAACGCTGCAGAGATCCTCAAGGTGAAACGGTAGTGAACACAAGCTTAAATTGGGCTAAAAGGTTTCGGAAGACTAGCAGCTCGGGTTGACGATTCAGTTGTTTATTCGTTTTCTGACCTTGGCGGTTTGGTTACAAACGTTGCAACATCATGCGAGGTGGCAACATCAGTGCAGTGAGATGCAATGCGCAATGTGGTTGAGTGAATCGTCCATCCGTGATAGAGGTACAGATGACTTTCGAAAGTGACCGCCTCGATTTGTGTCCCGTGATTTTATCCATTTTCCCGCGTGATAAAGGTTGTCCTATTTCGTTCTGTCGGAGTGGTTGGTACACTGAATCGATGTCGATGTGGCCAGACTAATCAAACATCAGTAACTCATCGCAGCATATATATTGCCACATTGAGGAAAACCCTATCAAAACCCAAACTACGTTACCGAAATTGCGAAAAGGAGTATGTTGGCAAACAGGGAGAAAATTGGCAACAAGAATACAGGAAGATAAAAGTGCTTGTGAAAAGCATTATATAACGTCCCTAATTTCAATTCATGTGGATGAAGAAGGGTACAGATGTGAGTGGACAGAAACAAAAATCCTAGTACGAGATGAAAAAGGAAGAGGGAGTTCCTGGAAGCTTGGTTCACCCCAAGGAACATAATCAACGTGCGCATCCACACAGAATCAGTATATCAACCACTCTGACAGAAAGAAATAGGAAAGATTCTATCATACAACTTAAACCAGAACAATTCGAGCGAGGACTTCAGGAGCGGGGAAGATGTAAAAAGATTATGGGAAGCAAATCGGAGCTGTCACTTCCGAAAGTCGCCTGCGTATCGATCACGGATGGAAGATTCAATCAGCAAGACTGCGCGCTGTATCTCACTGCATGTTACTTCGCATTGTGGTGAAACGTTTGCAATCAAACTGCCAAGCTCGGAGAACAAATGAGCAATTTACGTTTGGTTACTCAGGACCGGGTTCCACCATGGGCTCAACGACATTTGCATAGAGAAGAAAATATTGGTAACAACGGTGAGGTTGGAAAGCAGCCTGCGTCCAAAAGAATTTCAGGATATAGGAACAAGATAGCTCTTGATGAGTGGTGTCCTTCTAAGGCAGTTAAAACTCAAAATAACCATAAATGAAGAAGGAAAAGACAGGACGCACCAGAAGGAGCAGAATGAGCTCGCGTTTCCGCAAACACAGTTGCTTCAGGTAATTGTCACCATTGGTACGGTGTCCACCAGGCTTTCCTGCGAAATGTAGGAGAAATAATTGTGTGATTTCAGAACAATAAAGTAAAGCTTTTGAGCATATAATCGGTCAGAAAGGGATAAATGAAACTGGAACACAAAGTTACGTCAGGGCAGCAACATAGAAGGGCAACGTAGCATATTGAGAGCAGAGCATTTGGAAAGTATTGATGGCGCTGCTCCAACGCTCCTAGGTGGCAACAAAACTGCGTTGAATGCTCACCTGGAGCCGACGAGCGCTTCGACACGATGGAGTGGGCAGCATAAGCGCTAGGCTGCACATGGACGGTGGATGAATTGGTCGGTTGGAGTGCCGACGGCAGAATGAGTGATCCCACACCTGGGCGTTCCAGTGGCTGTCCGGCCAGAAACATGGCTTGAGACCGCAGACGTGGTAAAGTGCCGCCGGTGACTGTATTCGCGTTGTGGAGGTCATTGATAAAATGTGGAAAGATTCGTTGAATGTTCGGAGATGAGCTTGAAGTCACCTGGGGAGTACGAGGAGAGTTAGACATGCCGGTTGCAGTTGCGACACTCGAAGTGGGTCTGTTGGAAAAGGGTATGCCAATAACCTCAGGAGAGTGAGGTCCACCGGGGTTGGTTGGTGTTGTCTCGGTGTGGGAAGGAGTCAGTACACTTTGGGTAAAGTAACGACCGGAAGCCTCAATAAGCGAATCCATCTCCGCGCTCACGATCCCGCTGCTTAGATACTTCTTTTCTGCTTGCATCAAGGACCAAACTCGAGATAATGCCTTCAAATCCTCGGCAAGATCGGCACCTTTGTGTATTGGATAGTGCGGCTTGACGCTGAATAAGCGGGATAAAATTGCAAATGTGGAAAGTACAAACGTTGTGGAAATCGCAAATATGAATGACCAATGCGTGCTCGCATTGAGTGGCGGAAGGGAAATTGCAGTTAAATTAGGTCGAAACGGATCAAGTCAAAAAGTGTGGCTTCATTACCAGACAACATCACACCACGCACACATGTGACACACAAATCGCTCGAAATGAAGAATAGTTGTATAGACACTAGACAATCAACACAATCAATATTTAGCTGACGCAGTTTAATTTTAGCGGAGAACGCAGCCAGTAGAGGGGGAATCATAAGAAACATACACCATATCGCGGATGTTTGATTGCTGTAGACAGATAGAGCCACACAACTCGGGGTTTGGGAGGCGGTCGGGATCAATTGTTGGATGTAATTAGGTCAATACACGTTTTCTAATGTCACGACAGCTGTATAAGTGCAGATGCTTCAAAGTAACTAATCGGCAGGCACAGGCAACTAGTGAGAAGAAGGTGCGTAAGTAGGAGGGCATACGGCGCGTATCAGATATTAACAAAAAGTGAACAGTACTGAGGTTTGCGAACTGCGCTCGGAAGGAGACATCTTAGTGTCGCACTGGGGGAGCTATGGCTTGTAAACCAACCATGCTGCCTAGATCATTTCGGCTATTTGCTCGTTGACCACTTAACTGGGTGCGTATTACTTGTTGTTGCTGTAGCAAGTCCGGTGAAATCTTGAAGGTGCGTAACGAATGCATGTGAAAAATGATTCAGACGTAGTGGTTAGGCACCTTATCCGAAACGGCTTAACTGCGCAGTTAATAGTATTCAGGAAATCGGTCGTTTGTATCCAGCAGAAAGCGGGAGGTCATTGAGTTTTCCGACAGAAAATTGAGCACAAACGTCAATATGGAACCACCAAACAAGCGATGCTATGTGCGAGAAAATTCCACAAACTGTTGAGCGCGCCCTGATCGCGCGGCACCGCGCTTCACTGGTCACATTATCCGCTGCTGCGAGCCAGTGGTTCAATTGTGACCTGAGAGAACGATTGAAAACCAAACAGACCAAACAGTCACCGGAAGCCGGGAGATGCGACTGGGAATACTTGATGAACTCCCTCTATCTGTGGCATCTCACAATCCAGTGATAATACGGCAAGTTGGCCTAATCGGCCGAATTCTGTTGCTTCAATCCCTTGAGATATTATACCCTAATATTGTATCGAAGATAATGGTGTGTTGCATCATGAGAAAAACGTGGGCGCATAGGTAAACTCAAGAAGTAGGGAGCGGTTCGATAAAACACCGGTGAGTGAGTGTGAAGGTGGATAAGCGTAGTTGTTTCGAGATCGGCAATAAACCTGGCTTGTGCCGCAAACGTTTCCCGGTAAAGTTGACATGCCTTCTAGAATCAAATTTGGTAACAATGCACTGACAGAGGTTCAGATTCTCACTGTGCGAAACGGAGAGAGCAGTTACAGATCGCTCAGGAGTATTTGGCTATACCAAAACGTGAACAGTGTAAGCCGTAGGCTTATGTTGACGGTTTATAAGTGTGGAATGACTGGCACTCCGGTTAGTCTGCGGAATAAAGACTGCAGAAAGCATCACCAAACTAGTAACGTCGAAACGTCTTGGCGTCAGGAAACTTGTTAGCCGTGTGAAAGGTCAGTGTCATAGCTACGGGGAACATGGGGCAAGACGAGGCACAGATATAAGCAGCAAAAGATTGATGAAGAATCCATACATGTAAAAGTTGAACTGTTTGTAGTTAAATACGAGTGCAGTGCTTATTGACAAATAGAAGAAATCGTAGCGAAACAACAGGTGTGTGAAACAGTAAACGGGACTAACTCACGCGAAGTGATTTAGTATTGCTGCGTAGGCTTTTTCACGCAGCACCACGCGACTCAGCGGAAACGAATAGCCTTGCTCGAATGATGTGTGGCTGCTCAGACTAGCTCCACTATTGGCTACTTTACCCGCGGCGATTCCGCCACCGCTTACTAGGCTCCCCGCGCTACTTCCACCGCCAGCTGCGCTGGAGATTTCATCAGTGGTGGCATTGGTTCCATGCGGAAGTGGAGCCGGTTTAAATAGAGTGTTTTGGAGTAAGTTTAAGCACATCTCCACCAAGCGGCACCGAACCCCCAGCGCAGAGATGGAACAGCTCAGACGACCGCTGACGATGGGAAGGTTGTTCATAGTGAATTCGCCTGCGTCCTGGCTCAACTCAGGGTGATCGCCGACTCGTCGGAAGCAGCATTCAAGGTGCCAAATTTCCCCAGCTAAAGATTTTTGAAGCAAATCAAAGAAGATGTCCAGCTGTTCCTGGCTGGATGATTGGGCCACATAGAGCCGTTCACTGAGGAACTTAATAGGGAGAAATGACAGGGCGGTGTAGACAGGTGAGATTTAACAAGCGATCGAGATGATAGCATGAGATCCGAGAAGTGTGCCAGATGATGTCATAGCAGCGGAAGAAATGAGCATGGTTTCCTTGAAGCTCTCGATGCGAAAATAACAATAAAATTTAGAGCAACCTGGTGACAGGGAAAAGTTAATTGTATTGCGCGAAGCTAAATCCTTGGAGAGAACGGATCTAAGAATAAAACTGGGACACAGAAATCGATCGAACAGCAAACGCATTAAGACCACATGACAAATGGTTCAACCAACCGGATATTGAACAGCCGATGATCGACGTATAAATCCTGTGCATCATAGGGCATATTCGATAAGGCCATAAATAAGCTAGGTGAATGGTCAGGTTGCATGGTCCAAAAAATGAGAAGGCGGATAAATTAGAACAAGAACAGGAGTGTGTATGCATGAGCCTCAGATAAAACGCAAGCGATTCGCCCGTTCATTCAGTTTGGCGAGGGATAAGATCAAAACATGTGAGCCCATGAAAATGCAGTTATAAACAAAGAGTATGGAACAGTAGCCAATCTAAAGACAGATCCGGTAAGCGGTGTAAACAATAGCACTCTCAAATAGAAGTCCAGGAGTTAGTGCGGAATAGCAACTGTCAGCAGATCTGTAGTATACTTTAAGGAGAGAATGCTGGCCCGGCGAACTAATGGGACGGAAAGCGATCAACAGCCCGAAACGGACCCGATGGGCTTCGATGGACATCCTAATGGTGTGAACATATAGCTCCAACAGAAGAGCAACGCGGGAGAAAGGACATTGCTATGGGTATAATTTCGTGGTTATTTTTGCTAAGAAGACAGAAAAACGACAGATGCCAAATATTGCAAGTGTCCGAGCAAGAAAGGATATCCGATAAGAACTGTGAAACCGAAACATACCCGTCGGTTAAGAGGTAGATATTTAACTGTTTTCAGATGTGGTCAACGAAACAATGGGACCAGTAGTCCGCCCTGAGTCAGTAAAACAAAGAAGACAATCAATCAGTCAACCCACCACTTGAGCACCCGCGGAAATGGGTCAACAGGGAGCATCGAATAGAAACAAGGTGGGAGCAGGAGTAACTCGCTCCGCTGGAATATGCATGAATGATGGCGTAGTTGGGCAAAGAAAGGTCCGCAACACAATCGCATAACTCGGTGATCTAACAGCCTAAAAATCATCAAGGGGCATCCTTACACAGGTCCAAATCCTCCCTTCTATTCACCAGTCCCCTCACTTTCCGCCCACGTCCTCACTCAGTTTTGCGCACAACAGGCGGAATGGATGCATACCGTTTAGCAAATCACGCAATCGTAGTCACAGTATCTCTCTCAAAATGGTGTCGCGATTCAATGTGGAAGATAACTAGCAAACCACCACCACACAAACGACACCACCCTCTTGTTGAAAAGTGATATGCGAACCCGGTGTGCGTGACGCTCGGATGTGGATGTATTCCACGCATCTGTCACCGGGCTCATTCTCATGATGGATTGATCGATCTTCTGATAATATTATTCACTCATGATGCTGATCCGACCATCTATATTCGTCGGACCATAAATAACCGTTCAATGAGGCGTGCTCTTCTAGCTCAGTTTGAACCCAGTTCGCAATGTGTACCAGCAGAGAGTTGTCGAAGTGGATGGTCGCGTGACGGAGACCAGTGAACACGGTGGGCAGAGAAGACGACAAGAAACCTCGTGACAGCCTACACAGGTTGACATAATGTGGTAACAGCGTACAGGAGTAGAGCCCGGTACTCGTACACTTCAACATCTAGCAATTTGAATTCGAGTCCTCAGACTGCGAGTAGAATAGTTAATGAGTGTCCTGAAGAGAATCAGATTGATAAGTGTCGTGAAACTATAATTTATGCATCGCACAGAACAGAGAGAGAGAAGCTGCGGGTGAATAGGCATAAGCTCGGATTCGCTCGTTCTCGGACTTTTTGATGAATTAAAGGAGCCTGGTGTTCGAGTGAGAGGTCTAAAGCTGTCGGTGGACACATCGTCCTATTCGTGTAGACAAGCGGTGTCCCAGGAAAATGAACGGAGAGGAGACGGACCGATATGCTGAGGGTAAATCTCACCCAGTTCTGAATCGGTGAACAGCACTCGAAGCAGCCGCTATAAGGAGCAGAAGAAGACAAACTAATCAAGGCTACTAAAACAATGCATTCACATAAACTATCACTGACTCGACTAAGCAACAAGGCCATGCAATGCGGTTGTATGAGCTAGTTGGACAGAAAAAGTGAAGTGCCTATTGATCCCAGGGTGATTGAAATGGAGGCTGACGAGTAGTGCTGCGAATGAAAAATGCTTAAACACACTGAAAAAGAGGAGATACAACAATGGTAATGCTGTTGCTGGGGCTCTTGGGATGGTGCGATCATGTCTGTATGGACAGGGTTTAAAGAGTCCCTGAATCAAGAAGACAAAATGTGAAGGCTCTCGCCTTTAATATCGCTGAGGAACAAGTCAAACGTACTCATGTGACGATCATCCGACCTTAAAGGAGTCAGAGGTCAGACAGAGGCGCAGCTCTGCAACGATAGTGCGCAAATCAGTCGCAAACAATTACTTTAGACCCAAAAATCGTAATGAGTTAAGAAATCTATTAGGAGGTCGCAACTTATTAACGTAAAGGTTGAGTAAAACTGTGGTGGAGACCAATCAATGACTTGATGAGGTTCACACATCAAAGTTAGACTAAACTATTAGGAGGTACTGCAATCGCTGATCACAAACCACCCCTATCAGCTACGGCATCCCGGAGAAGACCGCAAGCGTAAGCAGATCACTGAAAGTATACAGACCAGCCGGTATTGGAAAAAGCACACGGTAAGTAAAATGTCAGCTTGTGAGCGTAATCCACGTTGTATGAAAAGAAGTAAAGTGAAACAGGGTACCATGGGCAATTGTCCCTCTGTGAGCGAAACTGCACCCCGTCAATAATTGTAAAAACGACGCCAACCGAGTTACATGAAAGAAAGTTTTAATGTTCTTTTTCATTTCAAAAGAATACAACAAGTTTCGATAGATGCGGTATAGTACGTTTAGATCGGGAGGTGTATGAAACTTGCATTTTAAGGTGGACGTTTTTCAAACGAAGCTGGAAACAGTTTGTTTTTAAGCAAAACATCAACAAGGAATAAAATAAAAATATCGAGGTGAATGACACTCACGATCATATCTACTCACGTCCAGTAACACCCAATGATTACACCATTCGAGTTGCATCAGCCTGACTGCAATGTGCTGTGAACATCTTCAAACCGCATTACTCCAACTTGCTGAGCTATGCAAGAAATGTTCACTAAAAATGATGATGATGCCAACAATAGTATAGCTGTGCGTTCAACAGAGCGTCGGAGTAGTAATGCAACAGGACTGTGCAAATCGATTCCGCGTATATGATGAGTAACCTGACCAAGGTAGCAGTGGAACGGCCCTCCATCAAATGACCGTCTTAGTGTTGTTAGTTGATTCCGTGTTAATGAATTGCTGGTGCTCTGCTCAAAAAGACTGCGTCCAGGTTGAATGGAAAAAAGCCGTTCACCTTGAAGAAGAGTGGGTATAAAAACAGCGGACATACCTACGTAAACTACCGTTGGTTGTATGGTTGCCAGAGATCGACTCAGTCAGCCAGAAGACACAGTACGATCGAGGAGACGAACTCGAAAAGAGGCTGTCCGATATAGATGATCTGCTGAGCACTAACGTTCAATAGCCAACCCCCATACGTCCATATGTTCTCGCTGTGTAGCGTACGGAAACTCGCCATAATTCCGTTCGAGACCGCTGGGAGTCACAGAATGTTCAATTTTGGGGAGTATAACTTGGAAGCTCAATAAAAACGCCATAGAAATCTCACAAAAGCAATCCAGTGGGAAGATAATTTAGAAGAATAGTAAAGCAATGGCCGTGTGTAGTGATGAGTCGGAGTCTGAGACACTCGGCTGCACTGAGTGATGAGGATTAGTCGTGGAAAGCAGGAAGATAAAAGAAATCTATCGACTACGGCGTAGGTCTTACACCATTCAAGTATGGCAGCGAAAAAAGAAGTTCATTAGCACGGCTTAAAACGAATGCAGTTCTGATACGATGAGAACGTCACTCATGTCTACTGGATCCACGGTGCTAGGAAACGATCGGGTCACGTTGTTGTAAAGCTGCCTTCGTACTGTTGCATTGCTGCTATTCTGCGCCTGCGAGACTACGACCGCCTGATTGCCCAGTCACGCGCCCAACCAATCCACAGGATACAGAAGGCCAAGGCTCGGTAAACAGGGAGTCTATTCTACACGATAGGTCAGATCTATTTATTGGTGAACGAAACATACTAATTTTGGAAGCGTTTGCCTCTCAGTCAATGTGAGCTAATTCCGTCCCACGGATTTTCCATATTTGGCAGAATGGTTCGCCTCCATTGACTCACGCTTGTATTTGCTGGTCAAGCAGTTTGCACCCGATTCCCAAATTTGGCAAAACAGTCGAAGATCGTTCCACGCTCGTGCTGGTGAGCTTCGCATGCAGCAGACAGCCAACGTCCTCCGCGGTAAGCCTGTACGCGACCTCGTATCTGTAGATTGCCTCCGCTTACCTCTCTATCACTTCCCCCTTTGAATTGATTGCCCCTACATATTTTTCGCACGGGCTTGGTCATATCTTTTTACTCTGGGATCCACTTGTAGCCATCGCGGTTGCCTTCTTCTTCGACTAGACCTGCATGTCACCTAGTGTGGTGTCTGTGCGACCTGCTGTGTTCCGCTTTGGAGATCAGTTCTGTTTTTTAAACCAAATGTATCCAGTAGTATGTCCCACTGTGGTGCCGCTGGTTCTTGAGGTCTATGAGTTTTGCCATGCCGCTGTCGTAGATGATTGATGTGTCTGGTTCAGTTGTTCTTTCCGACCATTATCTCATAAATAACTTTACCCCTCTATCCACAAACCGTTCGGCTAACTTATCTTTCCGGGGTTTGGAAGTTTCGTGCATACACCAAGTCGCCAAGCTTGAATGTGCGAAGCGTGTTATCCTGCCCCTCTCTCGATTGTCCGTTGTGTTTTCCAATATTTCTGGAAATCAGGCTATCAAATGTCGTTCTAATTTTTCGTCCAAATAGACAATCAGGAGATTTACCCTCCGGTGTGTTTGGATTCGGAGTGTTTCGATACATGCTCAAAAACGGCTGAATTGCATCTCGTGACACCCTCGTTCCTTCCGCTTTGATAAGAGCACGTTTAAAGGTATCTACAAACCGTTCGGCTTGCCCAATCCATTGCGGATGGTACGGCGGCGAAAACTTGTGCTGGATTCCGTTTTGCATGCACAATTCTCGGAACAGCGTTGAGGTGAACTGGGCTGCATTGTCTGTAACCAGCATCTCCGGGGTGCCAAAATACTGGAACAGTTTGTTCAGCTCATTGATAGTGTGCTGGGTGATAGGATTTTGTATCGGAATCACGTCGAGCCATTTTGTGTAGGAATCAACAAAAAGCAAATAAGTTTGACCGTTGATTGGTCCCGCATAATCCAAGTGGATTCTCTGCCAGGGCTTCTTCGACTCAAGCCAAGGGTGCCACAAACATTA